AGAGAGAAAGAGAGAAAGAGAGAAAGAGAGAAAGAGAGAAAGAGAGAAAGAGAGAAAGAGAGAAAGAGAGAAAGAGAGAAAGAGAGAAAGAAAGAAAGAAAGAAAGAAAGAAAGAAAGAAAGAAAGAAAGAAAGAAAGAGATTTGTGATGCATTCCGAAAGTGTCAAATTATAAAGTCCCTTTGTAAGTCCAGCAGTCTAGATGAAATACATATTCCTCAAGAAGTGAGGATTGTTATTGCCATCATGTATGTGATGGGCTGACTTAATATTTCAATCTTTCAACATGTTTCATAACTAATATCAAAGAGACAAAAACATTATTATCCAGCTTGTTTTAGATTTAACCATATGGTTAAATGCAAGAAATCTGCCTACTTCCTCTAATCATGCTACCTTTAAATAATGTCTACAACTCAATAAATATGACAAATGTAAATGTTGCATCTATAAGTAGTAAGAAAAGTAAAATAAAATTTGCTTTACCAAAGAAGGGAATCTCAAAAATCAACCTAAAGTCTGAGCATCTAATTTTATAAACTATTATAATACTTCAGCATTACATAGTACAAAATTGTCATTGCATTTAAAACACTAACCTTATTATGCTAAGTATGACATGTTATTTCATTACCTTCTTCCTAACATACCTCACAACTAAGATAAAGCCTGTGTTTATAAAACTATTTTTAAAAAATTTTACCGGTTCATTATAATTATAATATAATTATAATATAATTATAATAAATTATAATTAAATTATTAAATTATTATAAATTATTAAATTATAATATAATTATAATAAATTATAATTATAGACACATTCTTTAGATACTTCTACTTTTGTAGAATGAGCACAATAAGTTATTATTGGTTATTTTTAGATGTAATAATTGTATAATAATAAAAGATACTTGAAAAACCTTATTTGTTAAAAAAAAATGGAGATTCAAAGATCCCTTAACAGCTATAATATATTCATTCACAAATGTTAATATATAAAATACAGACATGTACTTATAAGATCTAATAAAGATTTTTTTTTTTCTTGTTGTACTAGGGATTGAACCCGGGACACTTAATCACTGAGTCACATCTCCAGCCCTTTATATATATATATATATATATATATATATATATTTTTTTTTTTTTTTTTTTTTTTTGAGACAAGGTCTAACTTCCTTAGGGCTTCTCTACCTTGCTGAGGCTAGCTGTGAACTTGTGACCCTCCTGCCTTAACCTCCTGAGTTGCTGGGATTACAAGTATGCACCACCGAACGTGGCTAAAGCTTAATATTTAACACCACCTTTAAAAGTAAGTCATTTAAGATACCACTGAAGAGTGTAAATCAATTTTAAATAAAATTATAATATTGATTCTGAAACTCAGCATCAATAAATGTGTACATTATTTTAACTTAATCTCTTTTTCACCACTTAGTAAGTAGTCTACCACATCAACTTCAGAAAACTGAATTTGATGAAAATAATGGGAAATAGCTTTAATAATATTCTTTGCTATACTTCGCATGTTGGCTCTATAATTAAAATTATGGACTTATTCAGAAATAAATTTTAAGAATTTTATCTTTGATTTCTTTAATAATTTGAACACTATACAACTGAATGTATTTAAATTAATTAACCTTCCCTGAGATGACTTTTAAATGATTATATGATAGGCATGTTTTATAAACTATAAAGCCCACTGTTATTTCTTGATACGATGACTTTGAGATGGAATATGCATAGAAACATCAAGTAGTTTGCACACATTAAATGACTTTAGGAAAGAGATGGGACTAAAGGTAGCTATAAGGCAGGTATCCTAAACTTAGAGGTAACAACTGTAATTATTAGAACAGATAAAATTTCCATGGAGTGACTCTTTTGTCCCAAAAACATGGACTATATGATTTTCAATTCAGTTAGCACTAAATAAATGCTTGTAGAATGATTATCATTTTAAAAATATCTATAAACTTCCTTTATGTTATGATTACATGTTCTGTAGATACTTTTGTAGAATAAGTACAAGAAATGATTACTGATTATGTTTAGATGTAAAACCCATGAAAACTATGCAAGACAAAGTACAACTGCTTAGTCTAATGCCTCTGGACATATTTGTCTTTTATTTATGCAGAGAACTAGTATTACTAACCACTCAAGCCAGTGAAAGCACCCAAAAATCTCCTTCAGGATCTCCTCAATTTTCTCAGCTTCTAGGTAAACTTCATTCCTATAATTAACATTCATTTTTCGTTCAATTTTTTTTCTAAAACAATTCCTACCTTTACAACAACACAATCTTCTCCCATTTTCTTTAGTAAGATAAATACTGTATTTTAGCTAACTTAGAAGAATATAGAGTCATTTTTCTTTTTGAGACAGGATCTTGCTATGTGGCCCAGGCTGATTTTCAACTACCGGGCTCGAGAGATCCTCCTGTCTTCAGTTTCCTGAGTAGCTGGAACTACAGGCATATATCACAACACCTGACTTTAGTCTTGATTCTTAACCACATTCATATCATTGTTTCTTTAGTAAGAGAATCAAAATTTCAAGTAAGTAATTCAAAGTGTAATTTTCAGAATAAGGCCAATTTTTTCTTAGACTGCCTTGTTTTTTGTTTACTTTTTTAAACTGATTTCAAGAATACTCTTCATAAGAACAGGAAGGTTATTAGTGAACTAGAATTAAGCTTCCATCCAGAGATGAACAGCCAAAGTAAAAGGAAAAAAAAAATGCTAGTTTTCTGTGCATGGCAGGGTCAAAGGTGATGGAGAAAGTGGAATAGACGATACAGAAATATGAAGCAGGAAGTAGCCAACACAGACCATGACTCAAGACACAGTGCTTTATGATAGAATGAAAAATAATAAAATTATGTACACATTTCCAAGCATCAATTTTAAAGGTAACAAGAGTATGAAAATATGTGATTGTATCAGCAAAATGAGGGGCATGTGTTGGTCCCTCACCCTCCCCTATCATTTGGAACCCAAATAAAGTACATTAAATTGAAAAAAAAGTCTAGTTTTGAGGTAATTTGATGTAATTTACTAGTCTCTCTACTTCTTTCCAATGTTTCACTCTGTACCCTCAACTTACAGGATTTAATTGCCATTTTTTCTCTACTTTCACCAAATGTTTTAAGGACATGATCCTTTATCCTACTAGTTTTCTATTATTTTACACTAAAATAGCCTTGTTTCCTACGAACCCAATAGAACTGAACCCTACCTTTTCTGAAATCACACTGAACTAAGAGTTAAAACTGTAAAGAGGAAGAACTGGAGATTGAAATGGAAAAAAAAACTATTGTTATATGCATTTATGAATATGTCAAAATGTACCCCACTATTATGTATAAGTATAATGCACTAAAAAAAAACAAAGTCAATAAATTATATTGAATGAAAAATAAACTGAAAATAAAAAGTTAAGGATGGAAACATAACCAAAGACAAAAGCATTCTTCCCAGCCTCCCTGTTCCCATTACTATGAAATTATCCTCTAAATTCCTTGATCATGAACATATGACTTTCAAAAATGCATTGATTTACTAAGAATATTCACTATTACACAGATATTAGAATAGCTAGACTATATATAAAAGCTAAAAAAAGTTGATACAAACCTATGTTCTTACAGTTTGCAAACAGTTTCATTAGAATTCTTCATAGATTCATAGGAGAATATCAGGATGAACTATGTGTTCTAGCATAAAACCATTCTTCAACTATGAAAGTACTATTTAAGAGCAAATTAAAAACACATAAAGTAACTTTATATAAGCATTTAGTATATTTGTAACCTGTAGTTAAAGAATAACTTAACTGAGTTATAAATTTTGACTAGTCTTTTTATAAAACAAATGCTGTACACGTCAAAGACTAAAATTAAGCAAACTGGATTTATGGGTACAGATGCTATTTTTAATCAATGTGTTGTTCTATAAGAAAGTGGATAAAATTAGTACTTACCTTTGACACTAAATCAATATTAAATCTCCTGCCTTCTTTAACAATCTGTGAGTAAGTAATCCGATTTTTCTTTGGTTGCTCTGCAGTGTCCTCTGCTGTAGGCACATTTTCATTTGTTTTTTCTTCTGAAATTTTATCATCACTATGGTTTTCTTTCTCCCCTGTTGCTTCAGCATCATTTACTTCTAGGGTACTCTCTGGATCACTGCTTGGAGTTTGTTCTGCAGGTACTTCACAGCTCTCAGTGCTTAATGACGCATCTTCTGTAGGCAGACAGGCAGAATCTGCAGCTTTTGAGGAGTTCACAGGTGTCACACAAGCATGATTTTTCTTCAGTGCACCAGCTTCTTCAACATATTCATGCAAATCCTGACTAATAAGAAATTATTAAAATAATTAGTATCATATTTTTGATAATTCTAATCAGCCTCATTATTATGACACTTGAACTTTTCATGGTATCTTTTATTCTTTTATCATTTTCCTATAAAGTTTGGTGTGTATTTTGCCAAGTGACCCAGACATTATACATTCAGTAGTTAAATTTTCAATACAATATGAAGGGTTCAATACCCAGTACCTCAAAAATTTGTTTATAACTGGAAATCCATATGCAACAAAATGAAGCTGAACCCCTTTCTCTCGCCATGCACAAAAGTTAACTCAAAATGGATCAAAGAGCTTGAT